CCCTGCAACGGAGGAAACCATGAGTTATATTGACAAAGATTTTTTTATTATATAACTTACCTAACATCATAAGCTTGACGTTTTGGTGCATAGAACAAACACAAATGGTATGAGTTCCGCTAGAACCAGCAAGCACACAATGTTGAGGACGTAATGATGCAAATTTTGAAAAGCCAACCCGGTAATCTGGATATCATTCTTTGAAAAGTTCATGTAAGTCTTTCAAGTTCGAGAGAATGAGACGTTTCTGGATATCCTCACGTGTTCCAGCATTATTTCTAAGAGAAAGATAATCTGTCATCCCTTGCATGTTCACACTAATTTCATCACTCATATAGAATTCCAAAATCTTGGTTAATGTCGTTTGGTAAAAGTCAACCTAAAATGTAAACAAATTAGATTATCACTGAAAATTTCAATGGAAATTATTTATTTGAATATAATTCTAAAAAGATTCTAACCTAATTTGGCATTCGGTGTTGAAAAAATTCCATTCTTTTAGAGATTTTGCAATAGACGCCATGTATTTTGTACAACCCATTGTTTCGCATACTCGCAGACAAAAGAGAAAGAATTTGAAAATTTTTCAGAACGTTTCGTATTACTATCGTTAAATTCAGTTTTTAATTTTTGGAGCAATTCTAAGAAATTTTGTGAATTTGTTTTATCATCAGCCGATTTTATAACTCATAAAGTGGTATTTAAGTCATTATAAAAATTTTTGACTTTGTTTTCTAAATAAGTTTGATTGTCAATGTGTTTCTGGATAATTGGTGATTGATTTAATAAAGCGAATGCATCATTAACAACAGGCAGCACTGTTCCTATACTTAATCCAGACAAACTACTGGTTTGTGTTGATAGTTCTTCACTAAATTCTTCTAACCCTAAAAATTTAATATATAAAATTTTTATTTTAAAATAATAAACTTGTTTCAGGACATAAAGTTTGTTTAATCTTACCAGATGGAATAGTTGAAATTGATGAAAGAGTATGTTTAGTATGAGCATTTTCCAATTCTTCTTTAAAATTATCATCAACCTCAGGAACAGTATTGCAGGATGCAGTATTTTGCGAATCGAATGCTTTCCTACACGATGTACAGAGTTAGTCATTTGTGCTTAAGTTATGTGCAATTTGATGTGTAATAGAAGTTCGTCGGAGACCATTTCTCACTCTATGGTCTTCCAATTGTTGAGGATTACAGCACAAATTATATCTAATCAAAATTTTCCATGGCACAAATATTTACAATACTGTTTGCTTGTTTACGGTAAAAATTATATACTAATATTTTTTTTAAAAAACTTGATATTGATCATTGACAAAATACGCTAATAACATGTGATCAACAAGAATACCCCTATTCTTGTTCTTAAATCTAGATGTAAACAAGAAAAATTGTCAGTTGATAAGTTATCCACCACAGTCTTCCTTGCTGACTATAGCAAATGGTTGGAATTAATTTGACAGAGGAGAGGGCTTACAAACACATAAATAAAAAACTTATAATTAAAAATTTAACGAATTTTTATCATCCTTTGAATCTCGGATTTTTAAAACATTTAAACGTTCAAGGAAATAGACGTGAGTTAATATTTATATTTCTTCGAAAGTAAATTACCATGATAATCAGTAAATACTGACAATACAAATATTTTTCAGACATTTTTTATCACAAAAATCTAAATTGTCAAAATTGAAAAATCGAAAAAAAAAAATAGATCCCATCGTTGTCCCACTATGAGCATGGCCGAAAAGGTTGTAGAATAGGTGACAGTTTGTTAAGAAAAATTTTGAGGAAAATCGATCAGTACGTATTTTTTGTAAATTGATAATTTAAGTATGCTTAAAAGTTAAAATTCTAATAGAAGCTTGCTTCGAAATACTTTTTTGATATTTTTTACGAAAAGTATGTTTGAAGACAAAGATTTTTTGTTTTTATGAAAATTTCATTCAGAATATTTTTCGCAAAGTTATGGTCGATTGAAAAAAAATCACTGAATTTTTTAAAAATTGAGATCCCGAAAACGATTGAAGAAAAAATCATGGAGGCAAAAACTAAATGGTGTCCGATTTGGCATGGAATGCCCCACATGTAAAATTACGAACTGGTATAGAAATTGGATCATACAATAAATTTAACAATGAAAATAAAAATATTTTTGCTAATACAAAAAAATTCTAATATGTAGCTTGTAATGTTTTTACAGAGTTCTGTTTTACCGCATACTATTTGGTCTTTAATCAAGCATATAGATATTTAGCTTTTCCAAATTTAATTGTGGTTATTTTGATTGACATTTTGCTGTCAGTAACAGCTCCTCCCATGCAAACGAATTTCTTTTTGATTGTTATCCTTATTATTTTGTACAGACACTGACGAAAATATGCACATCAAAAAGTTCAACCATTATTTTTCCCGTTCCCATTGACATGATGGTAGGTAAGTTTCACAAGAAGCCTTCTTAACTTTGGATGCCAAGACGAGAAAATCAGGAGAGAAATTAAATTAAAATTGTTGAATTTTCGGTGCCATCTTATGAAATCATTTTTTTATAAGCCAATTTTATTTTTTATCAGATTTATCAAAAGTAGAAACTGTTACGCAATAACTGCTTTGAAGTTTTTGAAGATTTTGTTGTTATGTACCAATACTAATAAGTTATAAAGTTATAAAAAAGTTTACTAAAATAATATAAACTCAACGAACAATATTTTTATTATAAACTGAACATGCATCTTCGAGATACAGGGTGTTAAAAGTGAAGTCCCGATGACACATTTTGGGACGTACAATTTTCAATGCATTTGAAAATGTCATGATAAGGTCGATAAGTGCAAACAATAATAAGTAGGCCTGTGGAATCAAAAATTTTATGTTCTTCAGCTTTGGAAAACCGGTGACTTAAGAAATTTATTTAGTATTAATTGTTTTTAGATGGTTATTTTATAAAGAAACTTGATTTTTTTAAATGGTTTGGTTGACTTTGGCCCAATAAAACGATTGATGAGAATTTATATCTTTAACTGTCGACGTTTAAACTATTTATTTAAACAAATTTTACCCCTAATTTACTAATCTATAAAGATGATTAAAAACTGGAGTTTAGTCCACTAAATATAGCGTAAAAAATTTAGCATATGTACCAAATTTCACTTAGTTATTTTTAAACGTTTAGAAAATATTTACAAAAATGTGTCATCAAGATTTAACTTTTAACACCCTGTATCTCGAAAACAAAACGTTTTCGGACCTATGTTTATATGAACTTTTACTCCTATTTTAGTATGCAGATTACGCTGTTAAAATATGACCATCTAATTTCGGAACATCCTGGATAGGGATAACTAAAAATAATTTGAATATAATCTGAAATTCGGTTACTTTCTGTTATGTTAAATGAAATCCCTACTGTTTTTTCTATATAGATTCTATCTAATATTTCGGAGTAATATCACGAAATAAACCCCTTTGCTGTAAATTATATTAGCAGAATCATTTCTATAAGCTAATAGAACCTGATGAGTTTTTAGACTTGATTAGAAAGAGACCGTAGGAAAAATAAGAGGAATAAAGTTACTCCAAAATAAATGAGGTAATCAAAATAGATTTAAATTTAGATTGATACTTACATAACAAGTCCATAAAATTGGTACTTTTTGCCCTACATCAAATGAGGTAGTTCTGTTTTTTTTTTATATGTTGGTAGTGATGAGCTAGTAATGGCAAATCCACATTTTTCACCTCGAAAGGACTTTTTTCAGTTTTTGTCAATTTTTACCATCAAGGACCTGTGTTACGGCAAAAGTTTTTATTCGCACTTTTTAAGTAAACTAAATTTGCAATGAAATGAGAATAATTTGGTCTTGGTAGGCCAAATAGTTTATAAGATATGGCTTTTTAAAAGTTTTCAAAAGTTCAAAAAAAGGAAGTATTACTTTTTTTTTAGTTTTCAACAATTTTTAACCATAAGAAGTAGGTATGGGCAAAATTACTTTATTAGTTATTAAAGTCCACTAAATTCCCAACAAAATGAGACCAATTATGTCAACTTACACCTTATAGTTCTTGAGACACAGTTGTTCAAAGTTGTTGAGGTAAGTAAACAATTATGTACTAGAAGGGTTTGCAAAAGGAAGTAGTGATATAAGCAATATAATTTATTAAAATAAACATTTTACTCATTAAAACATTAATATGAAAAATATAATGAAACGCCTCATTGTATTTTATGTATAGCACTGTTAAAAAAATAGTTATTACTCGCATTTTTTGTATATTTTTGATAGATCAGGCTCGTCCTCTGAATCCACAGCACACCTTTTGGGGACAGCTTGCTGAGGTAGAATTTCTTCATCGAACTGCTTAGGAAGGTCAAAATCATCATTTGATGGTGTGTTATCAATGAATGGTTCATCAATGTCGTCTCACATCAGGTCTGGTATGTTCTCGCAAGATTGGCCAGTGTAGTAGCTGCAAACATTCGAGCATTTCAGTCCTGCTTTCCTGCAATCACAACTGTTGAGGAACGAGGCCTTACTTCGCATCCAGCCCCAATCGAAAGGATTCTTCTCAATTTTCAGCCACTTCTGTACCTGAAACAAAATCAACAACAAAATAAAGAACCATCTAGAAAGAATGTGGTCTGAAGCAGAAAGAAATACATACAAAAAACTTATTCTCACCTGATGGTATATTCGCAGTGAGTGAAATCTTGCAACATCCCTGGTTGGAGGCAGTCTGGCAAGGTTCATGTTGGGCTTAACTGCCGCCCTAGTGAACAACTGGAAGCGAAGATCGCTAAGATTTTGAGATTATCTGTTGCCTCCATAAAGTAAAACGAGAAAGGTCTCTGCTGCGTCGGCAACTTGCTCAGAAGTGGCATTGGAGCTTAAGAAAACCTCTGCGTTTTGTTCGAGGCGTGGCTGTTTTTTTTTTATTGTCGATAGAATTTTTTTTCCTTGGCCAAAAGGTGATGATGTTGTATCGCAACCGCTAAACGCGTGAAGGAACAGTGCTACTCCTGGTTGTGATAATTGTGTAAAGGAATTTGTCGAGTAAGTGACATCTGGGTTGTCCTCTCCCACATTTTACAAATATAATATTGTTATTTAGTCTGTTTGTTGGAAGGATGTGTTCTCGTCCATCTCGTGACAAACCACAAAGTAAGACTAACAAATCTATATCCTCGCCGACCATCTTCACTACTACGTAGAAGGATATCAAAATGGCTGTGGTTACTATTAACCTATCAGCATCTTTCTCTGCCTGTAATATTAGAATTTTGTTCTTCTCCAGGTGAACCTTCAGCATGTCGATGAGTCTAACTTTATTACTGTCATTCAATAGGAACTTGTCCTGAGCAACTGAAACAATGGTTGTTTTATCGAATACAACATCAGAAGAGGACGTTGCTAAAGCTCTACGCAAAGCTCTTGGTATTTTTGTCTGATGCGTCAGACGGAGATCCATCGAAAATTACAGTTATATATGAGCCGTAGTAAATTTGAAAGTATTGGACATATCTGGAACCAATTTCTCCAAAAGACGCATTGCGAGGCCACAGTACTTTGTGAAGCAAATGTCCACCGTCTACAACTACGTGCGTATCATGCCTCTGATGGTTCTCATTCAGATTCACAGGATTGAAGACTATGTAGATTGATGACTTTGTACCCTTTACGATTCCATTTTCATTCAATAATGACGAAACGAACAGTGGACTCGACGCGGGAAGCAGGAGTCGACTGACGAGCAAATAGCACGTACTCGCATTCACGACAGATATGCCGGCCGGCGAAAGCTTTTCCTGTCGTATCCCCTTCATACGTCGCCGTGCTTTCCGCACCAACAGAGTACTGGCGTTAGCATGTTAGTTTGAATATCAAATCGATGACACATGTATTTGTTGTATTGTTTCTTCCGTGATATTAGTTGCAAATAAAAGTAAAAACAAATTCTGTTATAATATTTATTATGTTATGTTACAACTAAAAGTAAAAACAAAACACATTTTCAGTAAAAATCTACCAGACGACTAAAAAAAAGGAATACTTCCTTCTTCTTTTTGAAATTTTGCAAACTATCTGGCCTAACAAAACCAAATTACATAATTGTTTACTTACCTCAACAAACTTTGAACAGCTGTCTCATAGGAACTATCAAGTGTAAGATGACATAAATGGTCTGATTTTGTTGAGAATTTAGTAGACTTTAATGACTAAAAAAATAAACTTTTCCAATAAACCTACTACTTAGAGGTAAAAATTGTCGAAAACTAAAAAAAAACTCTAATATTTTAAATAGCCGTATCTTAAAAACCATTAGGCCTACCAAAACCAAATTATTCTCATTTAATTGCAAATTTAGTCTACTTAAAATGTGTCATAGTAAGTTTTGCAGTAACGTAGGTATTTGGTGGTAAAAATTGACAAAAACGGAAAAAACCCCTAAATTTTAATGAATTTTCAAGTATTTAACTGTGATTTGAAGGGCTTTCAAGGTGAAAAACTTGGTTTTGTCATTACCCATTTCATCACTACCAACTCATAAAAAAATCAGAACTACCTCATTTGATGTAAGGCAACACTTTTTTTTAGTACTATTTCCATGTATCTGTAACAAAAGAAGCTTTTGTTATAGGCGCAAGTAACTTAAAGATGACATAATTTTCAAGTAGAAGATTTTGATGGAATATTCTTTATATAAAAATATGATATTACTTCTTGGTACTAAAAGACATTCCAAAGTTATTTATTGCGTAAGAATATCTACTTTTTGATTAATATCACTTTTTTCGTCCTTCATTAGATTCAGTAAATATTTTTTTTTAATGGGAAATTATCCAATTTAATATTTATTTTAGCATATTTTTTTTGTTAAATATATTTTGTGTCACTCTATATAATAATAGACTGAATATGAAATGTACTAATTAAAATAGTTAAATAAACAAATAATTTAAAAAATATAATTGTAGAAAATAAAATGCTTTAAACAATTATTTTAGTATTTTTTGTTGTAGAATTTATTCAGTTATATTTTTTCACCAAACTGAATATTATGTAAATTTAAAGACATATTACCTCAAACTTATTTAGCTTTTATGAAAACGGTTTTTTTGCAGAAAATGCTTCTTTATGAAATCGATTATACACAATAATTTTTTATATTTATATTTAATTTGATTTACAATTTAAGAAAGTGGAAAGTATAATAAACGGAAAATTTTCAAACTTAGTTAATACTTAGAAAAGTTATTCAATATTCGAGCTAGGTTTCTTATTTAGATGCAAATGCATAAGATTTATTGCATAGCTGTAGGAATTTTGGTAGATATCCATGGAAAAGAAAGGCTTGAAATCAAAGATATTTCACTAAATAAGTAATCAAAAGCTTCAAAGTTTGACAAGTTGTTATACAATTATATATATGCGGTTACTAAATATTTAATTAATTACAACTATCGTATCTTTAGACAAGTATTTTATGACAAATGTTAAATATGAAAATATATTCGTAGAAATTTTTGAAAGAGATTAGTTTAGTTTGGGACCAGCCAACGAAATTTATATTACACAATGCCAAATTTTAAGCTCGTGGTTGGCGTTAGTATAATATATAAAAAACATTTATTTTCAACAATACATAGTGCCAAATGCTGATTTTATCGACATCAAATTGACCTAACCAAGTTGTGTATTTGTACTAACCTATGGCTTAATTTTATTTGTATATAATTTTCTCTGCACATTGCACGAAACATACTGTACATAATAAGATACTTAGTTCTTGTCTTTATCACCTATTGACATAAACTTTCAACTTAGTAACAAATAATGTAGGTAGGTCATTTCACTTTATGTAATTTTATATCGGCACTAAAGATAAACAAGATCATATCAACTTATAACTGTTTCTCACAGCATCTGTAAATGAAGTACACTTATTACAATTATTGCAAGTAATGATAATAACCATTCGCATTCTTTTTCAAGAAAATAATTTTCATACCACTTGTACCTGTCAACTTGAAATATTGTGTTGGAATAGATTTGTTCAATTTAAATATTTGAATATACTTTTTTTTATTGAAAAAAATTAAATAAACTGAATAAGTCATGTAAGTAACTACCCGAGTTCAAAAACGAATAAAACTGGAATAATTGACTTTAATTTTGATGCAGCTTAGTTAGCTGTTAGTCGTTTTTGCTGTTTTTTCAAAACTAAATTGGAAGATGGATTAGATAATTATTTATGCTGAAGGTAACTTATACATTTTATTATTAAAATATCAAGGTTTTTTTGAAATTCGTGGGTTCCATAGCTGCGTAGAAAACTATTTAAATGTTGTACAAGGTAAGAATGAACGATATATTGGTAATAAAAGTTTACCTTTTACAAATAACACACCTAAAAGTGTCACTGGCTCCCCTAACATTACTATCAAACTCAAAAACAAAATGACAATTGTAACTCATTGTAGGAAACATAACAACAATAAATTTTTAATATTTGGGAATTTTTTTATGATGTTTATCCATCATCAAAATTATATGGATCAAATGCCATAATCGAGAACGTATGCCGGAAAACGAAAAACAAATTGCAAAATTTCCGGCCGAAAAATTTAACAGCTGACCGGCTTATGAGTTTCTAACGATATCAAATTAAATTCTGTCGATTGGAATAAGAGAGAAAATGCATCAGCAGTCAAGTATTCTTTTACAAGATCGCGCCCTTATTTAAACCCTTGAAATATGTGCACACATTTTGCTGAAAAAAGCAAATGCATTCTTCATATGCCTAGCACACGTCAGGTGGCTAAATTTTCAGTGGTTAAAAGCCTTTATTGGGCAGTCAACAAAATCTGTCATTATCTGATGGTCTTTTAGGAAAATTGGGTATTACAAATTTATGAATGTTGTAAATTTGATGATTGATTATAAATTTTCGTAAAACCAATAGTAACAAATTTTATGCAGGCAATAAGCTGACAACAATTATCAGTAAAAAATTATTTAAACTGATTATATCGATGAAATTTTCCATCTATAAGAAAATTAAATTTTGTTTAATAGGTTGTAAAAGAAATATTATTTTCCTACGCATTAACTGTTACAACCTTGTTGACGTATGCTAATGAGGCAGACGACATCGTTTTAAATTAAGTATGAACATAATACTATAATAATGAGTAGTTAATTCGCTGTAAGCGTGTTTTCCAATAAACAGTTTGGTAGAAAATAAAACTGAATCGTAACATTCTCAGTTAATCGCTGGAAAACAACTAATTATCTATAAAATTAAATTAAACTTCAGCTAAATAATTAGTTAAGACGCAGTTTTACAACCCTGAAATGATAAAACTAATAGCGTCTTCAAATGGTGCACTGAGTGCGCACTATTTTAGTATTTGTCTTCAAATGAAATTGCATTTCAACGGACCTTATTTTGTTGTCTTCAAGTGTACTTGTACATTTAAATAACTGTTTTAGTGCAACATTTTTATGTCTTGAGTTGACATGCACTGACCAAGGTTTTATCTTCAAACAAAAAATCAGTGCAGCGCTAGGATTGTATTTTCGCAATGACAAATTTGACGGTTTTATGACTGCACTGCAATATCTCTGTATCTCTAACGTGTGGAGGGTGGGGTACCCCCACGGCACTTAGGCCTCCTTAGGCCCATTGTTCATCCTCCTGAGATGAGAGGCACCTCCTAGCTCGTGAGCCAGCCTACAGATTTAATGTAGTTAACAACGTCGTCAAGAGATGCTGCTTTTATATCGGCCGGTGTTAGCCGATACTCGCCGAACACAAATCTTCTAATAAATGAGAGCGTCGACCAATCATAAAGGATATGTTCGATGGTACCATCTTTTTGTTCGCACCCTCTGCAGAGTGCGGATTCTAACAGCCCCATGATATGAAGATGCTTTCGTACTTGGCAGTGACCAGACAGAATGCTTGTGACTAGGCGCAGATTCTTGCACTGCAATATTATAACCTATAATATTCTTGAAAAACGGTATGTAAAAAAATTTGATTTATTAAATTATGTTTCAAACGAGCTATCCAGTAGCCGCAGTAGTGACAAAATTTTTTATTATGGAAGAAAAAAAAAAAAGAAAAATTTAGTAAATGTCGATATATTTATTGGAAATCCACACGGATGATAAACATAGAGGATAAATAGAAAATTGAAAAAAGACTTGTTGTGTCAACGGTTAAAAATTTAAATTTTGTTTAAATTAAGGATACATTTTTATTAATATTTATTGAAACATTAATCGGTATATTTTTTATTTGAGTCAGAACTAGTCAGAAAAAAAATAAATAAATATTCTAAATATGAACAGGAACATAACATTTCATACAAATATCTTTCAAAAGAAAACAAGATTATTTTTCTAGTAATTTTTATGTGAAATCTTTTAGAAAATCCAGTTTCTCTCGGTGTGTTCTTTATTTGTTTTCTTCCTTTTCTTTGTGGATTTTTAGAAGAATTGTTTCAGTGAATTTCATTGAATTGTTTATTTGTTTGCCTTTTCTAGCTTGATCTGCTTTGCTTCTACAACAACTTTATGACTACTTCCTAAAACCTCTGCTTGATGATGCAATTTTCCTAACTTTGCTTTAAATTCTATATTTTTTCGAATTTTATCAGTCATAGATTTTTCTGTTTTATGCTTTTTTTCCAGTATCGTTTTTAGTCCATGGAATTGGTACTTTTTGCCTTACATCAAATGAGGTAGTTCTGATTTTTTTATATGTTGGTGGTGATGAGATGATAATGACAAATCCCAATTTTCCACCTCGAAAGCCCTTAGGATCATTGGTAAATACAAAAGAATTCTCTAAATTTTAGGACTTTTTTTCAGTTTTTGTCAATTTTTACCACCAAGGATCTGTGTTACGGCAAAAGTTACTACGCACACTTTTCAAATAGACTAAATTTTTCAATGAAATAAGAATAATTTGGTTTTGGTAGGAAAAATGGTTTATTAAATTCGGCTATTTAAAAGTTTGCAATTTTTCAAAAAAAAGGAAGTGTTACGTTTTTTTTAGTTTTCAACAATTTTTACCCTTAAGGAGTGGGTTTATGGGAAAAGTTACTTTTTTTTAATATTCAAGTCCACTAAATTCTCAACAAAATGAGATCAATTATGTCAACTTACATCTGATAGTTCCTGAGACACAGCTATTCAAAGTTGTTGAGTTAAGTAAACAATTATATACTTTTATTTATTTATTTATTTATTTACGGATTTCCAGTACATATTGAAAATACAAAATTGAAATACTAGAAGGCTTTGCAAAATAAAGTACGCCCTGTTAGTGAAATAAGCATTATAATTTATTAAAATGAACATTTTACTAATTAAAACATTATTATGAAAGGAAATAGTTATTACTCGCATTTTCTGTATATTTTTTGATGGACCAGGCTCGTCCTCTGAATCTACAGCACACCTTTTGGGGGCAGCTTGCTGAGGTAGAATTTCTTCATCGAATTGCTCAGAAAGGTCGAAATAGTCCATTTAATGGTACGTCTTCAATGAATGGTTCATCAGTGTCGTCACACATCAGGTCTGGTATGTTCTCGCAAGATTGGGCAGTAGCTGCAAACAGCCGAGCATTGTGGTTCTGCTTTCCTGCAACCATTTTTCCAGTTACAGAAAATCATATTTAGCAGAGCTTGAGGAGTTGCTGATGCAATCATCTTTTGAGGAACTAGGCCTTGTGTACTCCGCATGTAGCCCCAATCGAGTGGATTCTTCTCATTTCCCAGCCACTTCTGTACCTGAAACAAAATCAACAACAAAATATGTTTGTATAAAGAATGTGGTCTGAAGCAGAAAGAAATACTTATTCTCACCTGGCGGTATGTTCGCAGCGAGTGAAATCTTGTACCATCCCTGGTTGGAGGCAATCTGGTGAGGTTCATATTGGGCTTAACTGCCTCCCTAGTGAAAAACTAGAAGCGAAGATCGCTAAGATTTTTCGATTCTTTGTTGCCTTCATGAAGTGAAACGAAGAAGGTCTCTCCTGCATCGGCAACTTGCTCAGGTGTGGCATTGGAGCTTAAGAAAACCTCGGCGTTTTGTTGTTTCTTTATTATAGATTGAAATTTATGTTTTCCTTGGCCAAAAGATGTTGATGTTGTATCACAACCAATAAACGCGTGAAGGAATAGTGCTATTCCGAATTGTGATAATTGAGTAAAGGAATTTGTCGAGTAGATGACATCTTGGTTTCTCCTCTTCCACATTTTAAAAACATAATATAGTTATTTGGTCTGTTTGTTGGAAGGATGTGGTCTCCTACATCTCGTGACAAACTATTAAGACCAACAAATCTATATCCTCGCCGACGATCTTCACTACTTCATAGGAAGAGGATATGGGAATGACTGTGGTTAGTATTAAACTATCAGAATCTTCCTCTGCCTGTAATGTTAGAATTTTATTCTTCTCCAGGTGAACCTTCAGCATGTTGATGAGTCTAACTTTATTCCTGTCATTCAATAGGAACTTGTCCTGAGCAACTAAAACAATTGTTGTTTCATCGAATATAACACTCACGGGGTACTGGCTTTAGCATATTAGTTTGAATATCAAATCGGCGACACAGGTTTTTGTTGTATTGTTTTATTAGTTGCAAATAAAAGTAAAAACAAATTCTGTTGGTAAGTCGATATTATTTTATACATATAAGTAAAAACAAAACACATTTTCAGTAAAAACCTACCGGACAACTCAAAAAATTGTAATACTTCCTTTTTTTTGAAATGTTGCAAACTGGCCTACCAAAATCAAATTACATAATTGTTAACTTACTTCAACAACTTTGAACAGCTGTGTCTTAGGAACTATCAGGTGTAAGTTGACATAATTGATTACATTTGGTTGGGAATTTAGTGGACTTTAATAACTTAAAAGTAACTTTTCCAATAAACCCTCTAATTAGGGGTAAAAATTGTTGAAAACTAAAAAAAAACTGTATTTCTTTCTTTTTTTTTTTAAGTTTTACAAACTTTTAAATAGCCGTATAGCCAAAAACGATTTGGCCTACCAAAACCAAATTATTCTTATTTAATTGGAAATTTAGTTTACTTAAAAAGTGTTATAGTAAGTTTTACAGTAACGTAGGTCCTTGGTGGTAAAAATTGACAAAAACGGAAAAACTCCTAAATTTTAATGAATTTTCAAGTATTTAACTGTGATCCGAATGGTATTCGAGGTGGAAAACTTGGAATTGTCATTACCTATTTCATCAATACCAACTCATAAAACAATCAGAACTACCTCATTTGATGTAAGGCAACATTTCTTTCTTGTATGTACTATTTGTATCTGTTTTCGCACTAACCTGGGTACAAGTTAGTGATTAGTTAAATTTGTTATGAATTTTTTGCAGATCTGCCACATATGTTTTGATTTTAAATTTTTTTATTGGAACCTACATGAGGTAGGGAATCAACATAATAATCAAGTAAAAATCTGGATTCTTCACTTGTCCATTCATGTTTCTTACTGTATTCAGCTTCGAAGCTACTAGGGCTGCTTTTATTAATAAAATCAAAATCATTTTGGATCGGCACTATCTCATTACTTCTTAATTTTTATTAGTATTTACTATCAATTACCCCAATTTCTTACAATCTCAACGATTTCAATATGTTGTTCCATTTTATATAAGAAAACTGTGGAAAACTGATATTTCTTTTTTTAGAATAGCTGTAAGTGTCAAAGTGCACTGGAAGCGCTAATATGATCCCAGTCGTGTACAAGTTCGAATATTTAAGCGAGCAGAACTACTCTAGTGCAATGTTAAATACGTTTATGCACTGCACGGTGGCAGCGCGATCTGTCCCCGTGCGCCATTTGAATACATTTTCTGTTTGAACAAACTATATTTTTTTAGTTGATTTTACTGGTTTTAAATACAATTTTAAATGATATACGATCAATATTATTGTAGGTATATTTTAAATAGATTTATATTTTTATATTTATGATCTGCCTTAATTTTCAAAATATTAATAATATTATTAATAATAATTTAAAGCGAATAATTTAAGGGTAGAAGAATGAATGGCTTGATAAACAAGTTTTAAAATTTGGTAAAACAGATTATATTCATCGTGCGATTGCAATTTATCATATAACCTAACATTTCAGCACAATAATTTAATTTGACAGAATTTTTCAAATCATTATACATATTTTTTTTATTTATACGATTTGCTGAAACAAATTGACAATTTTATTATATTTACTAATACAAAAATAACATGGAAGAATTCAGTATAGGACACACTGATTTCGTCCGTTTTATTTTGAAAATCATTAGTAATATTCGTTTTGGTCGCATACTGCGTCGAAACTGAAATCGCCATTTATCTTAATCAAACTAATTAGATTGGCTTCATCAGTTTCATTTAATTCCAAAATGAATATTACTACTATTGTGCACATAGGGAAGAATTCCGTACTGGACACACTGAATTCATCCCGATATCACAAAATGTAGAACTATCGTTTTTATTTATTTATGTTGTACTTATTATAGTATTAAAATTTTCAATTTGTTTCCCACTTTGACGCTTAGGTAATTAGGTAAAAGCGAATTTTGTTACAGGTGCGCTTGAAATTTCTTTTATTAAAAAAAAATATTCATCATATTTAAATAATTGTGAATTATACTCTTTTGTGTAATTTAGAAATCTTTGTTTGTTGTTTTTAATAAACAGAATTTCAAAGCATATCAACCATCTTTTTTTTCTTGTTTCGTGCTTTAAATGGCACCCATGCTTCTAATCTAAATACTCCACAGTTTTACGCTTTTATTTCATTTTATATTTAATAATTAATAAAAAAATTCAATTGCTATTTGATTATACAGACTCTGAATACAATATCTGCTGAGAAGAATTCAACAATCGTATTTCCTTTGCCGATTGATCTGTTAACATATTTTATAAAAGCCAAGGAAGCTGCTGGACACTCCTCAATGTGAATACCTATGCGTGGGTGGAGTGCAACCTACTTTTAACGATTCACATAATTTAAAATTCTTTATAACGAATCAACGTCTGAATTACAATAATATTAACGATTAGATGTAACAATTATTATATATTCTACAGCACGATACATTGAACTATTTATTTAATATAATATGTACACTATAAGAGATTTTAGCACATGTAATACTCACTCAGAAATATGTGTAGGTTTGTTATATGTGAAATGTATTTTCTGAAATAAATGTTTTCATTTTATATGTCTTTTATTTTCAAGGTCCTTCATTTTGAAACAAAAAAATTAACTAAATTAAGCATACGAGTTGGTAAAATAAGTTTGAAAAACAGAAGTTCGAATTTTCAAAAAATCGATTTAAATCGTGCAAAAGTTCAAATGACAATTGTCGAAAATACAAAATAAGTTCGAAAGTGAGAAAAGACTTTCTAATGGTCAAAAAGGTATAAGATAGTAATAATATTTATTTATAAATAATACAATTAAATTAAATACAATATAATATTTGTTATGAATAAAAAAAAAAATGTTAAACACTTGTGCACAGTAAAACAATATGTATACCTAAATTTAAAATTAACTCGTGGCAACGCTATTTGTACAATTAAGGTGGCAGATATTTAAAAGCACAGCTTGTTAAAATATCTGCAACCCAGAATGCCAAATTTATTATTTAAAAATAGTTTTGGTATTCTCAAAAATTAACTTAAACAATCTTTCTCTGAATTACTATGTACACATTTACAAATTTTGAGGTTAAAAAGAAGAAACAAAGTAGCAACTAAAAGAAGTTATCCAGATGATGACTCTATTAAGGTAAGCTTTATTTATTATTTGTGTATGTATTTAGTCATTCAGTTAAGACCTTTTCATTATTTAATTAATTTATAACTTTATTTAATTTCAATTCTCGGATTTATAGTACTATAGATTTTTAAGGTATATCCAACTATGTACCTCATTCCTATTTTTTGAGAATATCCAATGTTTAACTTTTTTTTAAACATCTTTAAAGAATTTAATTGTTTAAGGGGTGGTGGAATTATATTGTATAACCTAGGTCCTAAATAAAAATGGCTACTTTGAGTTACCGTTTTAGAGACTTTTGCTATTATTAAAATATTTTCTTTATTCCTTGTATCATAGTTGAGTTCTAGACTATTCAAGTCGTTTTTTTGAAGTTGCCTTGTAAGAACTGAAACAAAAAAGTTGCCTAATATCAAAAAACTTACAATCAATAAATAACTGGTCAGAAGGGTATCTAAAATGTTTTCCGTATATTATTTTTATTAACCATTTTTGGGTAATTTCTGATTTATATAGCATACCTCTAATACTTGTCTTCAATTGTTTCCAGTAACTATCTGTGATCAACCGTATCAAACGCTTTATTAGATCAATAAATATTGCCATACAAGGTTTGCGATTATCAATAAATTTTTAGATATTTGTCATTAAATATACGAGAGCATCCTGTGTAGACTTTTTTTCCGTAAAACCGTATTGCTTAGGTGATAAAATATTGTTCTTATTTAAAAAACTAGTAATTCTATTTTTCAATATTTTTTCAAAAACCTTAGCAACACTGGTTATTAGAGAAATGGGTCTATAATTTGTCATATATAGCTTATCATTATTTTTTAAAATTGAAATAATAATTGTATCTTTTAATATATTGATTAATTAAATATGCAATTACGGGATATACAGGGTGGCCACTTTTTTAATGGGATTGTATTAGTAATTTCCAAACCATGCTAGTTAGAAAGTCGGTAAAATGGAGAAAAAGTTGCGTATCTCGAAGCATAATCTAGCAGTGAAAATTAATCAAAAATAGCAGGTCCGGTTCTTGAGATATTTCGATAAAAGGAAATTCGATCATTTTGGTTTTTTGGTTATCGTTCATTTATTTTCAGAACTACTAAAAAATATTTTAAAGGTTTTTTATTTGATAGTAAATTTTCTTTGATTTGACGTTTTCATATTTTGCATCCAACGTTTCGTATTCTCCGGACCATCATCAACTTTTTTTTTTAAATACGGGCTTGGATATTTTATAAAATTATTTGAAATAACTTTTCATCCTGCATCCAGTGGTGTATTACACAATGACATTCAATGACAGTTTTTGGGTAATATGGACCGTAATCCAAATTTTATTGGTACGGATCTGTATTGAATTTAGTTAAACACTAAAGTGATGAACATAAAGTGATTAATTGGGAAA